TAGCTCAGAACCACGTGTCTTCTCTTATGTGTAACCGAAAAAGTGATACAGAAGTCAATACGGGTGCGAGAAATATTTCATAGGTGCAATTATGTAAAGACTTACGTGCTCATATTAGTATTCTTAAAATGATAAAAATGTTACTTGTATGTATTACACTATTTTCTCCCGACTGAAAATGTCTTTTTCTAATACTTTACAATTCATACTTACTTTACCTAAGAAAGTTTCTTCCTAACATCCATTCGCCTATGCAAGTTATTAATCATGTTGAATTATTTGTTTTTGCTTTATTCGCGAAGGGAATATTTTTTATTCCGGAAATAATTATAAATCTCAATCGTATGGAAATGCAATGAAAGTGAAGAGCATGGATTTGCTGTATGTACATATGCGTTTGATGTGAGATCTGTAAATACTGACATGAATGATGTATGTAATAAAGATTTATTTTAATAATATTATTGTAATATTTGTTGGAGTCCTTTACATTGTTACAAAAATTATTCCCTGACCCTCGTGTAAAGGTATATTGTTTAAAGTATTCACTATAATAATAAAGTTCATACTTTTATTACCTACTGATAAGATTACAGTTATTAACCCTAGGACGACCAAGTGGGGATGGCTCTTGGAACCTACCGCACCGAACATTCGAGAACATCAATTCTCTCACTTCAAAATATTTCATAAAATTACTTATTGTCGATTACATTTTCCAGATTGTTGAATAGACGATTCTAGTTTGATAAAGACATTAATTATTTGAAGGCGAAACGACACGAATATTCTTTTGCTGCTAGCTTGTCAATCCGTAGAGTCGAATTGAATTTATTTATTTTTATTATTTTTATTTCCTGCTTAGAAATGTAAAAACAACGCAATTAACCACTCAGTATTTCATAATAAACAATTAGAAAAGTATAATCACTTTTCCTGCTGTTTCTCAAATTGAAATGAATTAATTAAAACACATATTGATGATGTATGAATTTAAGATTACAAAAACACATTGAAAGTATAGAAAATGCAGTCTTAACAACAATAGAGAGTAATTAATGAGAAAGGGATGCTACAAATGAAAAGCAACAAATAAAATTAAATGTATCTAAACCGAAACAATTCTGTTAGATGCAAAAGACATATTTCTAATAAACATTCGATGCTACAGTAATGAATGTATAGTGCAAAATATGTCAAGCTCCGATTAATATCAAAAAAATAAATAAAACCATATTCAAAATTAATACACATGAATGTTTCATTTACATTATTTCCCTCCCTACGTGCGAATCTGTACGCTTGTAATATATATTTGTATTTAAAAAATATGTTTTGATGGAAACTATCCTTCGATGTAAACTCGGGTGGGCTCCGCGAGCCACCCCTTTGGTCGTCCTCGTAACGGCTCAAGGCTTTGTTGTCCTAGGGTTAATTATACCGATTTCACATTCAAACAGATTATTGACAACATCAGATTTCCCCTACTCTTCCATCGGCTTCTATGTGAATGGAGGAGGCTAATGAATATAAATATCGTCGCTTGTACCATTTATTCCTCTTTTGATTGATCTGCCCTCGTGCTTCATAGAGTGTGTTCATTTTAAATTATTCGTTGAAGATTTATAGTACATATAAATGTCTGTTAATTTCTCACTCTCGAAGAGAAGCCTGTATTATTGGAACTGAAGGTGTGTATTTCGGAAACGATTATTAAATTATTAATAATTTGTATTGTAACTTTTGCTTGTTATCTAAACGTAATTATTTCTTAAGAATATAATAATGGGAAAGAGTCTAACATTTGTATTTTAGTTACCTATTTCATTAAGTGAAACCGTTAATAATATTGTATAGGCTTACATAAATTTTTAGAAAGAATTTAATGTTACTGTTAAAATAATTCTAAATTGTTACTTGCACTATTTAGAAGTTAAAGCATGCTATAAGATTAATAATAGTATTTATATTATTAGTATTAGATATTTCTTAAATTGTTTATAATAATTGTTTAACCGCTAGACGGTGCGATCGCGTTTCTCAGGTTCATTGCTCAAAAGTCCCAGTCTATCAGTTCGTAAAGTCAAATTAAATTTATTCATTTATGTTTCTCTGAATTATTTATCTTCATCTTTATATTATCCGTTTAGAAATATAAAAATGGAGCGATCGTACCGTTCAACATTTTCTAGCGAATTTTTGTGAAGATCCGTAGTAGTTAAATGGCTAAACTAATGAATTTTTCAACCATATTCTTCGCTTCGATTTCTTAATAAAAATGAACTAAAATAAATAGCGTCAACATTAGAAGTATTAAATTAGAAATTAGAAACTTTTCATTTTACTAGTAATAAACGAGAATTTCAGTTCAATTCAGTTTAAATTCAAATTCAAATTCATAAACACGAAAGCAATTACCGTAAGGCTGCTTTCACGCTAATTCCTGAATCGCGATTTACGTTACTCGATACAAGGTATCCTTGTCATTCTATATTTTTTTTGCGTGAAATGTGTGGAACAATACGTACAGGGTGACATGAATCGCGATTCAGGAATCGTAATTTGAAAGCAATGTTAGCGTTCGGTACTTCCAAAAACAAAAAAAATGTACCTACCCTGTTTGTATACTGCTAAATCCATAACGTCTACTTGAAGGTGTCCATGATAAAATCAGCTCATATTAGTTTCATAATACAGATTTTCAATTACACTATACATTATAAGAGGAAATCCTTGATATTTTATAATTTAATACTTAAATTTTACGGAACACCTATTTAATTAGAATATCGGATTTTGAGGGATATGTAACTATTTAATTAAATTATTGGATTTTGAGGAATATATAACTATCTAATTAAAATATTGGATTTTGAGGAATATACAACCATTTAATTAAATTATTGGATTTTAAAGAATATATACCTAATTAATTAAAGAAACAGAGTTTCTATGATGATCCTCTGTATGATTACAGAGAAAGTTCCAAGTAACGACTAAGGAAACAATCGACAAGAGAAACGAACCAACATTCTCAATCTTTCCATCAGATTTATTTCTGACCAGGTACATGATTCCTATTATTACATCCCGCAGTTACAATAATAATTTATTCGTCAACAGTTCCCAAATTTAACGCGTTCGTCCATGCGCACTCGATAGCTATTCCTTAATATATTATCATAATTTCAAAGCAGTCAACAACGCATATATACATACATACATACATACGTATATATACTTACTATTTATTCTCATATGTATATATGTACATATATACTTTATAAGTATATATACATACCTATCGAGTGTACAGTTAATCTTTACAAGTGAATACATTGTACCGTAGAATAGTTTCGTCTTCGTTTAACAGTCACTTTGAAATCGGCCGATCGCCGAAGTGCGCCGTGTATCATACATGCGTGTAGCAATAGTCTAAAGTGTAAAATGATCTTGTTCGGCCATGAATTATCTCGAGTTTCTTTGTTTCATTATAGATAGGACCACAAACAGCGACAACGGAGTTTAAACGAAAATGTCGTAACATTAATCAACAATGAAGTTGATCGAGTTTTAAACGGCCATTGACTTCTACATCAAGTAGCCACGAGAAGAGAAGTACAGTTACATCAGTTTATTGAATATATAATTAAGATGCAATTGGGTTACTTATGGAAGATAGAAGAGTAATGAAAATCTAGCATTGCTTCTAAGTCAGTTTCACGGCGTTTCCGGAGTTATATCATATTAATTTTATTTGACATGTTATTCTGTGCTCCGTCCGGTGGTGTAGTTTAAATGAATGATGAACGAAAACGTATATTATGCTCCTTCTTTTTGCACAGATACAAAAGAAAAATACTCAAGTCTATTTTTTGTACTGTTGTGTGACATATAAATCATTGCTGAATAATTAATTGAATTGAATTGATAGAAATTATAAGAATGGGGAGCACATTAAATTGAGTATATTAAATTGAATTCACATAACGAGCTGCAGCTTGAAAAATAATATGAACAGATAACGTTGGAAGATACATATGTTACCGTTCATTCAAATACAAATTCGAACATCACCGAGGCTAACAGTTCTTCATCAATTACCATTAGGCCCAAATGCATACTTGAAATTTTAATGACACATAAAGGTAGGATTAATACACTTGTGTGCGTGCACTTATACGTTGTTTACCGTGCCACAATATTCCTATGACAGTGAGAATTTATACGAGCACAAAAAGAAACTTTCGCAATACGTCAGCCGGATCCCAGATATCATTTGTAAAAAAAAGATTTCTTCACACCAATTTGTCTTATTTCTTTTGTTTTGAGAGAAATGATTGTAATGAATCCTTGCATACTGTATAGATGAAAAGCAACACGGACAAATTTAGATCATTATAACTGTATATCGAGGATACTTGTTGATGCAGATGTATAGTATCACGTAGAAGTATACTTATATATTTTCTATTTGGTCGTAGAGTGGCTAAATTTAGAATAACAATTTATTTTTATTAGCTTTGTTTTTTTACTGTTATGTTAAAGACTTTATTTGCAACATTGAACGGCAGACCGATTGCATTGAAAATCGAAGAAAGTTACAGAATATTAGAAGTTCTTTGAGTAGCACTCTGATCTGGAATATATTGTAATTGCCTAAGAGGATATCATTATTATATTCTGCAATATTTAGCCACCCTGCGGTAAACGTAAGTACTTAAACCAAAACAATTGATATATACGTATATACTATTGTCCATTCTTACTCTCAAACGCGCAAATATATATTAATATTTCTTGAGTTAACACAGCTATTCCTATGTACACATCATACTCATTTAACGTCCGTTCTATTCTCAATTAATTTAAACAGCTCACTGTCTACAGAATGGCTTGCCATTCCCTAGACACATGTTTGTGATGTCAACAAATTATCCAGAAGATATCAACGTGTCGAGAACAACGAAACTAAAAGAACGACGTCATTTAAAAGATGAGTGTACCGTAGAATCGTAATCGCTACAAAGCTGATTTCAACTTCATGGGAGTAGTTGTTGATTCAATTTCATCTTTTTATTCTTCGCTTGTATCATGATGTGAACACTAATGGTAATGGCAATGAGAGTTAGCCACGGAGATTTATAGCCACCCTGGTTAAACGTAACAGTGTTGCGTTTTAATAGAGAATACTTAAAGTAAATATACGACAAACACAGTTGCGAATCCATTGTACTGTGTCAGGAATAGCTTCATCGTTGATCGCAATTGTGTATGCTTTGTACGTATAATTCTTCGCTAAATGATATACCAAAACAGTGCAGTGGGCTGACAGAAGATCGTAGGTACATTTTATGGTATATTTGTAAACTACTTCAGCATAATGAAAATGTATCTAAGGATCAGCTTAGGCACACCTGCACTGTGTCGGCAATCAGAAAACACAGACGTTTGTGTACGTTCACCCAGGTGTATTCTTCGGATAGCATAGCAAGCTGTGTTTTTTCTACACCGAATTCCCCGTGTGTAGTGGCTAACTTTCGATACCAATAAAACCATACAGTTGAAATATTTATAAGACTTTTGATACGATGAAATGGATTACTATGAAAACTTACGACATGACTAAGCATCAATCTATATATGGAATTTGGTAAACAGCGCCGACGTATTACTACCTTTGTACTGAACTGTTCGATGTATAGATCGTTACAGAACAGTACAGCACTATTGGAAATAGGAACGAGAAAATGGGACGTTAAGGCTTAGAGATTGCATTATAAATGTCCACGAATGGTTCGAATTTTTACAATCATGACGTCGTCTTACACAATTCCGACGGTCGTCTACGGTTGAAAATGAGAAACGCCGTTTTACATCCTTGTTTTACCAATATTTGATTACCAGAGTTCAAGTTTCCTAAGTATCTTCCGCAACGAAGATTAATCGTTTTATTAATTGACATGATTTGACGAAGGAGGTGTTTCTCATTTTTCCTTTTAGTTTAGACCACCATTCTACAATATCAGAATCCTTGGGAGGACGAGATCTACGGTTACGAAATCCAAAAGTCCTTCTGGTAGAACATTTTTTAATTTGATGTTCTATCTTCAGATCATCCCATTTTCTTTTGTTCTTCGGTGACCTGTTTTTACGTCTAATAACGATTTCCATATAAGATTCGTTTACCTTGCGAAGAGTATGGGAGTAAGAATGTACTCTAAGAGCATGGAGTACGTGAGAACAAGAGTCTGTATACATGAATTATTGTCCTTTGGTTTAATTATGCTTTCCATTTGACGCAGCACCAGCGTTCATATCGTATCATTCTACGTGATAGGTCGCATTGCTACTGGGCAATGTTACAATTTCATCTATACTGTATGACAAGAACTTGCGAAGTTATCCACCTTAATGTAAGTCGGATACACGATAAATTTTTTGTATCATTTGTTCAATGATTATCAATTGTTTCAAATGTAACTCCGAGTGTACAGAGTAACGGTAGAATGTGCATACAACACGAGAGCTTCTTAGCGAAATCCCGTCACGATAATAGCTTAACGCACTATTACACTAGAATTTCGCCAAATGAAGTATATAAGCAATTCTACCGGAGGTGGAATTTCGTGTTCTATGGCTTTTGCACTTTAATGTCTACACCTGACTGATAGTTAATAATGATACAAGAAACCGGAATCGTGACACACTAAATTATCACACTTCTTACATCATCTACTTGGTATGTAAGTGATATATAGAAATTTCGTTCGACGATAAACAACATAGGTTCATACAGTAACTGTACTTCCGGTAAAATCGTAGGCATTGTTATTTATTGAACATAGAATTCCTTTTTTCGACATTACGATTCAGCAGAGATTAAAAGGAACTCGCAACGAAGCAACCTGAAGTGATACCGATCAAAATATTTTTGTGATCGCATCTTGATCACGATTGCGGTCAATACAGTAAGGAAACAACATCAATTACAAATGACCAGAGCCTTTGTCACAATGCCAAGTATAATAATCGACTAATTAATCGCGAAACAAGATCACTTGGACAAATTAGTGACTCTCGTCTGCCTCCGTCGCGAGGAGGTCATCAATCTGCCGTTTCCACTCCATGGTGTCTCTGTCGATCATTACGTTCCTATCTTCATTGCTAATCACCACCTCGTAGTCCTTTAGTTCGGCTTCTAGCTCACGTTCCCAGTCCTCCTCTGTAGAGAGAGAAACAAGCTGCATTATAGATTCCGCGATGAATTATCGCGTGCTCGCGGGGGCGCGTGAATCGATACGTGTCAAGTATACCTGTGCATCTGTCCGTTGATTAATGGTAAAAGCTTGTTCTTATTAGCCATTGCGACACCTTAGCGATACGATTGTAAATATTGTGTCAATTGTTCTCGGTTCCTCCCACTTCGCATTCGATTTGTAATCTATCGGTAGATTAAGCGGGAACGATACTCGGGAGGTATTGAGGACTCAGGAAATTAATGAGACGGTGACGTTGCATAGAAGCAGGACGATCGAAGCACGGTAATGATTGTTTACGTTTCGCCACTTCTGTTAAAGCTCACTCGAACTTAGATACCCAAGAGATTGGTTTACAAGAGGATACTGATTTCCGCGGATAGATGACTTCGAATATTCGATACTCTATTAACTGGTTTAATTGATATTGGGTTAGTTTTCATCTGTACTACTGTTGAACACTGTTCCGAATCGAGCAACCGATTTCGAAGATCAGTGGAGTCTTCATTTGTTGCGCTTTCGTTTGTGAAAAATACGAATGTATTGATATTCTACAAACTGGTCTTAATTAACGAGACATGTTCTTGTTCCTCCTCCATGTAAGTCATCTCGTTTCCGCCTATATCAGTTGCTGTTGCTTTATCGTTTTTATCGCTTCATGGAAAATTCCGTGTCCTCTTACATCGAAATGACAAACAGCAACAAAGTATATGATAATAAATATACTTTCTATACAATGTGAGTGTATTCACGATATCGGTGCTTCTTTAGAAAGCCACAGTAACTGAGGATCATGATACTTGACGAAGTGCAATTTTTATACGCATTTTCGACAGCGTTAGAATGACGTTTCATTCGCAATCTGTTTCGATTCATTAATTCTTCTCGACATAAGTTGTAAACGTACGAGTTGTTTGTAATCATGCTTCCCGCGAGCGTAAGATGAACGATTTAGCAAGATGTTCTATAAAGAAATGATATCATTAGAAATATCAGAAATCGGGTTTCACTGTGTCATGTCGCCGTTTTGTAATGCCAATATATTATCGTCTGATTCATTTTATTCACATCGAAATGAGATGCGACATGGGTAATTTTCATTTGCTATAATTATTGTCGCACTAGCAGACATTCTCAGCGATTACTGTGCTTCTTATATTTACATATTCATCTAATGATTTGTCCTCAGACCGGTGTAAGCGTTGAATAATTCCCAATAGTTTCGGAAACCTCTTATAAACTGCTCTATTTTCATGCTTTCTTTCATTACCAGACTATTGTTTGCTTTTTATGATATCTGCTTTGTTTGATACATTCAGGATTAGGCTACAAAATGTGAACAGTGAATACGAATGATTCAGTCGTTGCCTGTGGAAAAGCATAATCATATATTGAACGTAACAACTGAAGTTCGAGACTTATATATCGTCATTTTATTCGTTCGAATGTACCAGTATCGTGATTAAATTTAGAAAAATAATTCGCCGTCGAAGGGTTGGGTGTCGCATGTGCAGGAATTTGATCACATTATAGTGGCCTCGGACTTTAATCAATATCATTGCGCAGGAGCTGATTAGAATTCGTAGTTTCTATTCTTTCTTGTGAGTAGATCTGCCTCTTGACGACACAGTTTGAACAATATTTTAAATATCGTTGAGTAATGGTAACTTGTGGTCAAAATATTAAAGTGGAAACCTTAAACCTCACGCAGATGTTGTAATTGATAATTATATGAAAGCTGCGCATCACGTACAACATCAGTTCTGCATAATTAAGAACCCACATTCGCTATCCCCCGCCCACTGAAATTCTACAATTTATATCATCAAACCATTTCTCCAAGTACTTCACTTCACACATTGCAATAAACACTTTCGAGTAATTTACTTTATCAAGGTACCGTATCTGCGCAGTCGAGTATGTAAAATACTCCATCTTCTGAAATCATTTATTAATGTGAAGTCAACCGACACTTCATCTAACGGTTCAGTGTACTGCTTGCCGGATTCCGTAAATTTTTGTGTGAAATTCAATTAATATCGCATATTTCTCGTTACGGTTTATATTTCTCCTTTTAATTGTCGTTACTATTGGCTATCATGATGCATTTAACAGCTTCTCGGTGTGTATGGAAAACCTTGTACAAAATAGTCAAACGTAATTTAATTACCAAGCCTTTCCATGCTAAAAGGTGGAAAAAAGTATTTCGTCGGTATTTATTATTTATTTGTTTATACACTATTGAATTTTATATACGATCCGGTTGTATAGAAACAAAATCAAATATTCCCAGAAGCCTGATCGCATTGTGGTTCATAAAAAGAAACCTGCACATAAGTTATGATGTTTCGTGAACTTTATCGGAGAATATGCATTTTTTTCAAATTGACTTCCATAGAATTTTCCATCCGACGCTTTTAGAGCAGTGTGAAACTTTTTAAACTGTTCCAAACTTGTTTCTGTTCAATTGTAGTACAGCATTCCTTGGGGAATATTGCGGGGAAATATATTATGAGCACAAGTTACACCATAATCTCCGCCGTCGCTTGTTTTGTTGTTTTCATCGCTTCTCAGATTAGCGTCAATTTTTGTCGTTCAACTGTTGAATCACCGATAAAATTTTTATTTTCATTCTTCAATCCATTTTGTTTTTCATGCCAGACACGACGTAATTTATTTCTATATATATTCTATCTCCAGTCTTCACTTTCGCCGTCTCTATTTGTATAAAACAATGTCCAAATGTTTCTAATAATTAGTCACAGGACAATCTTTCGAAGTTGTCAGTTTTTATTTGGATATTTTAGGAGTTTCTTAATTTATTATCGTCATTTTCCGTAATAAAGGCCCCCATGCTGATTCAAGTTACTCCTTTACGTTGTTTCGTTTGTTACGTAATATGATCGTATAGATGGATGAAATAACTAAATGATAAAATACAGAATGGCTGAATAAAAGAAGAGTATTCGAAGACGGAGGCAACGGATTGAATCAACGTCTGCATACAATCATGTTCCAATAATGTTCAAAGATGTCTTGTTTCTATTAGTCTTCTTTTTCTTATTAGCCTATTACTTATATCATGAAAATTCTGTTTTCTCTTATGCCTTTCATCTTATTCCTCAAATTTTACAATCCACTTGCCTTTATAGTACTTTCTTTGCAGCAATGCTTATGCAGATCAACCGATTTTCTTATTATTTGCTTCTATGGCATTCTGTGGCCAGTAGAATATCTATTTTCTACCAACGTCCTTAAATAGTCCGTTCATTTTTTCTCGTAACAACGAGTCAATATTAATATATTTGGACTTTAGATCCTTTTAATCATTATTAGTCAGCATCGACTCTAGCATGTGTACAGCATTTACAGTTATCAAACAATCAATTTTGCTTTACAGTCAGCTTACGGATGTATAATTTAAAAAATCAACCAAATCGTATATAATCAACCTATTCGAATTGCTGTCAAATTATTTATATCTCTCAAATGATTAAAAACATAGAGGACAGAATCGAAAATTGCGGTGAATTGTAAATTAGTCGCCTGTTAGGAACATGGTATTTATGTGTTAAAGGATACCAGTGATCCGTTAGATAGTACGCGAATGATGGTAAAAAAAGCGAGGATACAAAGTCATGAAAACGGCAGTGATGAAATTCATCGATATGTTAGAGGAGTTAAAGGAGGGGTCTCGATGGAGAATCAGAGTATTAATAAATCATTGGTGCCTGTCGGAACGGTCTACAAAGAAGGTTGCTAACATGGTTTTTCTGAGAGTTCGACGTACGGTCATTGACTTGCCTCCTCTTCTTTAAGCTGTTAACAAAATAGAAACGAAAAACAGGTCGTTTAGTCACACAATTAATAGTGTATGAGATACTGTTAGGCGGCGGACAAAAAGCGTGGGGAGACAAGCAACCAGGCAGAGACGCGGGAGACATTGACGGGGGTGTTAGAAGGGGGTGGGTCGCTCGAGGGGGCGCGAGGTGGTGCGACGTGGGAAAGTTGGTTGACGACGAGAACGACGGTTTCCTACGGGGAAGTGCACCGGGAGAAGGAAGTTGGAACAGTTGCGTGAGAAACGGGGGATGAACGCAGACACTACGGTGACAAGGCATTAAGAACCTTCGGGGAACATTGTTTGCGACACGACAATCGTCAGTGTCGCGTTGATTCACCGACAGTTTCGGACACGTCTCGCGCACGGATCATCGGATCCTAAAACTCCAGTTTCTTTCTCCATTCGCTTCTACCGTCGTTCGAACAGTTTATATTCGAACGAAATTTCTAATGTATAATGATTGCGAGAGTACTGTGAACCTTTCTGACTACGCTGACTTTCAGAGTTGAATGATTGTATCTGAAAATTGTACGCACTCTATGAAAGCTAATTTCGTCGATCTTTGTAATGATTTGCATCAGTCTATCGTCCAATGAAAATGAAAATAGTGATCGATGCTTGTCGAAAGAGCTGTAATTTTATAATGTATAATGATGTAATTAGCACTAGAACTACCTGTAATGACTCATATATATAGTAATTATATATTCATATATAATCCCTACAAAAATTGTAATAAATATCTTCAGTTTCTGTCATACATTATAGTATTTAAAATATCTGTTTTCAATATTATTTCTAATGCTCAATGCTTTCGAGACATCAATATCTGCGAAACAAGAAAATCGATACCAGCAGTTTTGACTGGTAGTTCTAGTGTTAGTTACGTACAAACGGAAATGTAATGTAAAACGAATTATGTAGAATTATGAATTACATATGAATGTAAATGTCAACCCAAGGAGCGTGTGTTCTTTATCGAATGTCTCCAATTGGCTGTCGGTCGACGTGCCGCGAGTAAAAGGAAGAATGACGTTTACCAAGTGGAAAGCCAAATGATTCCAGGCCGCGTGTAAAAAAACTGACCAGGAATAATTCCGTTAAAATGAAAACGTTTTTCCGCGAAGTGCAACTCCCATCAAAGGTAGGTACGTACACAAAAGATCACAGCTCCCGCGGCGTCCTACACATGTCACACACATTTCCACTTTGAATGGACGTTTCATAGCTTCGTTATTAAAACTGAATATTCATTGTTTCTGGCCGGCGAATAGAGATAGAAAGGGGTGCGCGCGCGTCCCTGTGAACGTGTTTCTTGCTCGACAAATTTTCACCGGTGCACGTAACGGAACGTAACGTGTCTCCGAGGTTTTCGTGGCTCGTCGAGGTCTGTGTGTGTGTGTGTGTTCGACGAAAAATAACAGAAGTTTCGAGTAACGTGCACGCGTGACTATTTCTGGGGTAATCGGTCTGGTTGTATTGATTCGTGGGTCAATCTATCGAAATCTCGTGGCACAAGTCTTGTTTCTGCTTGTTTATCTGTGGTAAATCTTGATTATTATTTAACGTTGAATGTTGTATTTCATAGAGCAAAGTATATGAAACGAAAAGAATTGAATGAAAGAATTGAATGAAAGAATTGAATCATTTGATTGAATTGCATTATTATTGCATGATCGTCTAGCTGAATGTCATCGCGTTGGGTAGCATTGTTTAGAATATACAAATGTTTTTAACGCTTTGCACTCCAAGCTGTTTCTCACTGGCATTACCAGCAACTCGAAGTAATTTTAGAAAAAGCGTATTAACATATAAATAAATAATACGCACATGAAAGGAAAGTAATAGATGTATCTTACTATTTACTATCGATTATAGATAGAAATGTTATAATATATTTAATAACAAAATTTTTCAGTTTGTAATTAATTAAGATGATTGGATTAGTTATAGCTACTAATGTGGATTTTTAACTTGACTAATCATTATATTTTATTTACGAAGTAGAAAGAAAAGAAGTTAGCTTGATGCTTGTTGTAAGGAATCTAACTGATCAGTCTAATTTTGAAGAAACCAGTTTACAAAGTTCAAATGACAAGGTTTAGAAGCTAAACTGACCACAGAAGACTACATAAATTTAGTCTCTTTTCGATAAAAAAATTAGATACCTTATAAATAGTCGCACTTTGAAGTGGCCAGTTTTACGACTTTGCTACCCCTGTCTGCCGACTGTTACCACTTATAGACTCACGGGAGAAGCCCCGACTGTTACGTTGACTTTTTAATGAGCCTTTGACAGATTGTAGTGCTCGTCGGACCCGTATCTCCCTCCGGGGATTAGAGACATTAACAATTAAACGTATGCCGTATCCTCGACATCCCTGAACATGAACCCTGGTTTCTCTGGTGGTTCCTCTAATTCCGTCGAGTCGAGCGAAAGAATTCTAAAAAATCACGAGAAAATTCAAACTGATGTGTACAAGTAAGAGAATATTCATAATCAGCAAGCGTATAAAGGTCTAATTGTTCCAAGTATTTTATTATCGATAGAACTATCGACATTTCTCAAGAACGGTCAGCAGACTGAATGTCAACGTGTCGGGAACTGGGTCACATTAACGCAGCGAACACGGCGCGCCTTCAACCGTAACATTTCAAACTATGAAAAATGGCACTGGAGCACCGGAATTTGTCAAAGGCTCATTAAAAAGTCGGGGAGCAGTGCTTGGCCAGCTCTTCCCTCGCCGGTTCAATATTGGCTCAGGTACATCGCGATTCCGCGCGGTCAATTCCGGCTCCTCCCGTCCGTCTAGTTCATTAACGCTGGAGCAGCCGAATGTTTAATGTAATTAACACGTAACTCTTGTGAAAATAGTAACGATCGAGTTTTTACGATTATCTTTGGATATTCGTTATAGTATTGAAGAGAAAATATTTAGTTTTCAAATTACTTCGGGTGTTTAATAGAAGTACTAGACGAGTTGGTGACCTATTTCTGATGTCTTCTGCAATTATTAAAAAGACTTCGTTGAGAAATTATTAAGAAGATAACAAATGCTTCGTTGAGAAATTATTAAGAAGGTAACAAATGCTTCGTTGAGAAATTATTAAGAAGGTAATAAATGCTTCGAGGAGAAATTATTAAGAAGGTTACAAATGCTTCGTTGAGAAATTATGAAAAAGATAAATGCTTCATTAAGAAATTATTACAGAAACTCATTTGGCATCACAAACCGAATTGCAAATTAATTAAACTCTCAACAGATGCACTCTTGGAGTTCCTATAGAAACACTTCAAAACCTCAACAAGTTAACAAAATACACAAATTTAATTACATTATTACTGCACATTCATCTACCTGAAGTCACTACATCGAGTAGCATCGTTTATATAGAAATGCTTTCAAATAATCGTTTCATTAAATGAACTATAATAATTCGACTTGAGGTTCACTCGTGACTCCATGACATTCAACGTTAACTAGTTAGTTTCAAAATATTGTAATAACTTCCAAGACACCAACAATCGCAAAATCTGAAACAAGAAACCTAAAACCCGTCATTTGAATAATTACACTAATCCTTATTCAAACCCTCAGAAACTGCACAAGAAAGAACCAAGTAATTGTGCCACGAAACGGTTCGTATTGGTACGAGCGATGGTCCATCGGTAATAAAGAGTAACTACAACGAATGATCACTAACCTTTAGGTGGTTGCATTCCAAGCTTCTTCATGCCTTCCCGGACTTCTTCGAGGTCAGTGTCCGTGACTCTCATGCTGTCGGAGACGAATTCATGGCCCGGTGAATCGACCAATGCGCTATTACCGCCGGTCGTCGTGGTCCCGCTGGTTTCCTGGCCCGTGGTCGTTTGAACTGTGCGCAAGACAACACTGACGGCTAAACCAAAAGGGATCGGGAACTGCCTAACCGGTATTCGCGAAGCCCGCTAACGGCTCTCCAGCCGTTGTCCCCGTTCTTTTCAACGTCCCCTTTATTCCTTTCGTTCCTTTTCGCGCGCGTGCACGTTTCACCGTGTGCGCGCACAAGGACACGCGGCGCTTCCTCCCTGACCCGAAACAAATTGAAACCCCGGAATCGATTCACCACTTTAGCCGGTGTTTGATATTCATTTGCCGAATGTTTGATCTCTGCATTTTTCCCCGGCCGCGATGTTTGAACGAAAGCAATACTGATGGAACGGTCGCTTTCGATTGTGCCGGAGATACAGTTTTTTCGACTTCTCGGGCACTTAGGCGGCCCCATCGGGTCGTATGCGTGAAACGTTGACTTTCACCGGAGATTTGGTTACTCCAGGTGTGCCACTCGATTGTCTTTTTGTTTATTTGTTGTTCGACGCCGGGAATTGATTGTGTACGAGGAATCTGCTGTTTGGTTTTCATTATACTTATTGGCTATCGGTGTTTACGTTTTATGCATACGTCCCGATGAGCAATGAGGCTCGCGGAGGATGCTGAAAATTGTTATAAAGTATAAATGATACATTAATAAATAAACATAAATCAATGGCGCATGTGTTCGATTAAAAAAGTAATTCGATGGGAAAGGAAATCAAGCGAAAAATAAAACGGTATCGGTTGTTCGGATACCAATGGCGATGACTGTGTCACAAACAAAATTTAACCTTCGGATGGCGGATGATCGTAATACCGGGTCCAACCGGACCCTTAGCGAAATTAGTCTACGAATCGCTGGCAACTAAATTCGCGTCGTAACTTAAAAAATGATCAACTTGTACCGTTAAGGAATCGAGAGCTGAAAGTGTAACGGAAAATTGTTTCATGGGACAAACGTCGATGAAAGAAACTCGTCGATTGTTTTCGAGAAGTATGGACGTCGAATTTACATAATTGCCAATTATTGCCGTGAACTCGTTGCCGTCGGTGATAAGGGCAAAAAATGAACAAATTTGGTTTACATATATATTATGTATTTGACATATATTTATTATTTATTTGAACAAGATGTACATATGACGATTACCTCCTCTATTCCATGTACAGAACATATGTGTCTATTATATATTGTGTATTCGTCAGAATTTATTATCATTGACCACACAAACATAACACCTTGGAACATTTTTTTTCTGAAACTGGTGTGTGGCTCTCTTTTTGTCATTTGATGCTTCGATTCCGCCAGTTGATTCGATTGCATCTGCAATACGCTTATTCGACATCAAAACTCCACTTTCAAGTGCAGGTACACGTTCATCAATATATCTAGAAGTTAGTTGTGTGCCCAATTCCTGCAAAAACATTGTTCTTCTTATTCTCGTGGGGCAACCTCGCGATCCAAATTACAAAGGGGTATTGCAATTTGGAAAATGAAAATTTGTGGAAATGTAGAAACAGAGTAAAAGGCCATTCGTCTAGTGCAACCTCCGACAAGTGTGTCACCTAACTAACTTATCAAGAGAGTCTACACCGCCTTTCCTTTCGTTGCGGACAGAAATTACTTCCGGCTCGGACTTAGTATCTGCACCGGTGATGTATATCGTGTTCGTGGTGTACCGTTGGAAAGAAAATTCTCGTGCCGGTGGAATACAAGAAACGAAAGTTCTATTCCGAGCAAAGAAAAAATGCGATGGAAATATGAGAGTTCTTGAGTTTGTTTCAGAGTATCGTGAGTATCACCGTCAGATCTTTCCGGTTTTCTCTTGCTGTCTCTACAACGAATTACTTGCTCATTCATTTTTGTAAGCTTATCCAATAACAGCTCTTCCGTTGACAGATCGGTGAAGTTCGATCAGACCGCTCCCAAAACTCGGAAAGATCTTCGACTGTCCACCCTGTTTCTTGTCAGTGTTTCACATCGATTCTAAACATACTTGAACATTACAAGAGCAAAACGCTTCGAGGATCACATAACGTCCAAACATTCAAAGGACATCTACATCGATAAGTTACCAATTGCTCGTCTATCGCCGACTGTACTGAAGAGTCACAATATCCTTTGCATCCCGCCGCAAGGTATACAATGTACCTAACAGCCGCAAGTCAGCCGTTCGTCTCTCTCAGCTCCCTAATACTCGAGCCATCGATTCACAGAAACGTCGGCGCACTTCCGAATCTGCCGCGACTCGCGCTGCCGGTGGAGATCGTTCTCTCGAATGCGAAACGTCTCTTCCGAACGTCATCCGTACACTCTCCCGACTCGCCGAGTCGGCGAATAGCGAACGACAAACGAAAAGAAAGCATATAGTTGAGCGTTCCGCGCAGCTGTCTTCGACCACGGTCCCAGAACTCGGCATCCTCCAGTCGTCTTCCCTTCGGCTAAGAATCTCGACGCTTCCTTCCTTCTTCGATTACTCTTCCAAACGCGTGGTCGAAGACAGCGGCCAGGTGACATGGATTCACCGCTGACTGCCAGGGAAACCAAGGAATTTACACATCGGCCAGCAAGACCGCGCTCCGTCTCCTAAGGCCACGTCCGGCCCGAAGAGAACTGTTCGCGAGCTACCCGCGAGAGGAATAGTGTCGCGTTCACACTGGAGACAGATCGCAAGCGGTCGATGACTTGTTCGGTCGGTACTAAATATCGGACACGTCCGGACACGTTCCCTGCTCGCGAACAGATCCTTTGATGTGCCAGCTCCCTAGCGAACACTGCTCGCTGATGAGATCTCTGCTCGCCCGGTGTTCGCCAAACCGTCCACACCGCCGGCGAGCATGTTTGGCGAGCCAACTGCTCGCGAACAGCTGTGTGGACCCGGCCTTAGGCTGTTGCTTGCACCCGCAAGCAGTGTGTAAAGCAGAGCTAACACACTTTGAGTTCAGCCCTTTCGCTACCAGCGTCACATAAACGTGACGCCGCGAGTCTCCTGCCGGCGTCGCGAAGACGCGACGTGTGTTCTTTATGTTTCCGACGTCGTGTCGCGACAGACCGAGTTACAAAGTAATGAACTAGATGCGTACTCTTGGTCTGCGGCAATTAGTTTCTGATTCTTGACGAATCGGAGTCGAATTGGTCACTTCAGATTTAACACGTTCCGTGCCACGAATCTCGGTTATATTTTGCTGATGGACCGTACCGATTTTTCGAATTAAATATTAAGTTATACTTGATTGTTTGCTGATTTTTGTTTTGATACTCCTTTATGTTCTCGCTGCTTTAACCGTCAGTGACCATGTGTCTTAAAAATGATTTTCTTAGAGAACGTGTACCGTATGTGGTACACGTGGCACTGAACGTGTTAATGTCAATCGACGTTGTTTAAAATAATGGAATTTCCTTTTAGAGCTTCCTGTTAGAGAACAGATTCTCCTCTGAGACCCTGGTAGCGAACGGGTTGGTCTATAAGCAAGTGGCGAGATCGCCGTCGAACAGACCGTGTATAGACTCCCAAACGACAATTTGGTAACTCAGAAACCAGTTCAAGCATAGGTTCTACGGAAATCACTTCTTCGGTTTACTATCCTTATTACCCTAAACAGTATTAAGGAGTATTCACGGACATCGGTGCGGTACTGGTTTCCAACTTGTGGCATTTGCGTCGTGACACTCGGGCAGAGTCGCCTCGTTCGTGAACATTACAAATAATATCCACCATCTCATCGCCAGTGAAAAGTCGGGGAGACTCTTCGATACTACGCACGTGTTCACTGTTCAGCCAATGTATCGCTACTATTTCGAAAAGTACTCTGTGACCTCCGTCGACATTTATTCAGTGTACCTCCGGACACATCCGGAAACTATGCGACTTTCATTGTTCACGACACACTCAGCAGAGAATACATCATTCCCATGATCTTGCTGTTCCGGCTCTACCGTACGACACCTTCTTCGATAGACTTCATCGTCATGATCACTTTCGTTAATGAGTTTACTAAACTTGCCATGATTTACTGACAACCATCTTTCGCTGGACATCGCTACGTAGTAATAGTACTTATTAGAGACAGGTATTACAACTTTCACTGTAATTGCATTGAAGTGCGATTAGCTCTCGCTCACTTTACACATACTACACTACTCCGCGTTGCTCGAGAGAAGAGCCCCGGCCATTCGTCGTTCGCTCGCAGCGTTCCGCGTCGATTAGTCTCTTCGACGCGCTGATTGCTGTCTAACCTAATCGTTAACAAATCTATTTCGAGACTTCCAGTCGGAAATCCGCGAGACAGTGTTCCTGTTCCGACTGTGCAAGTTAGAGTTCCTTTCGGAGCTCTTCTCCTGAGCAACGCGACACACATCTACCTGTGTTCCTTCCTGAAAGACAGGTGATAGAGGATGGGGACACGATGGGGATATACTTTGACTTAGTTTAAACAATTGCCACCCAGGAGCGACACGCATTCGGGTCCTGATGGACCCGGTATCCGCTGTGCGAAGGTTAATTTTGCTGGAAAATCGTCTGAGACACTGTACACCAATTCGCGGAGACTTCCCTGGGAGCGTGGTTCCCGCTCGTTCATTCAATAATTCCTCGCGGCAAATAAGTCATTAAGTTTCTCGGCGCGAGACATTATCGAGTCGTCGGAGACCCGGGGACTCGTTCAACTTGTCGCGCGGGTATTCCCCGAAGCGGCGAGCCGAGCTCCCGCGGGGGAGAGAGGCTTCAACGTTCGCAGACAGTCGACGGGATGAAGCCACTCGGAAAGAGACTCGCGGAATTATTTTCGGAATTTATTGATCTTGCGGTGTACGACGATGGGAACTGCTTTTTTAACAGATTCTGTGTTAATAACTGATGGAAAAGGATTGTATTAAGAAGTAATGAGAAGAGATTGTATTAATAACTAATGTAGCGACAGTGACGTCTTCGTTTCGAGGCTCTCGTTTTTAATCGATTTGAGTAGAAAATGCAAACGAAATGAAAGGAACGTACTAGAAAATTTTAGTCTGACGTTTATAAACTTCGTAATGGATTCTCACACAATTATGCAAAATTTAAAAGAGCAAAATTGCAAGTATATGAGATATCCAAAGTACCCTTTACAAACTCTCCAAAAATCATTTCTCATACTTTTCTAATAATTCCTAAAAATTCAACCCTTTGCACTCCGAATTTCTTTCGCAGTTCCTCGATAACTATTAACCCTTTGCGGACGAAAACTCTTTAAAGTACACGAAGCTTGCAACTTTCGAAGCTAAATTATACATCGAATGCTTAAACAATAATAAAAAAGGGAACTACGCACTGATCACTTGCCATTCAAGTAATAAAGTCATTAGTTTGCGACTTAGTATTCCAAATATGAAAATTTCATCTAATCGAAATGTCGCCATTCAAAGGGTTAATATATCTGATTTAAAATGCATCTTAATTATTAATGCATTAATGCATCTTAAAAAATAGTTTATAGATACTAAACGATTCTTACTAATATTGAAAATAACATAATATAATCTCGGCAAAGAAGCACACCCGAATAAAACTGACCTCCACAACAGCGCAAAGGGTTAATTTCCATAAAGATCCGCAGTAACGAACCTCCCATCAAACTACATCTACTAATCAAGCAATTTCTCATTGACGTATACCACGTATCCTCGATCTCCAATGAAATACAGTCTCGTATCGTTGATTACTCCGGCCTCTGCATTGTTTACGCGCTCCTCTCTCTCCGTTCTTCCTCCTCGCGGAGGGTTTCATCCCCTATCCCGGTCCCGGGGTCTCGCAGCTCCGAGCGCGACGAACGAATCGCGCGGAAAGCCGTGTCCGGGCCCGCTCTTTTCCGCCAACGCACTGACGCGCTGATTTTCCGGCCGGTCGGTTATCAATATTTCATCGGGAATTATCGTTTCACCTCGAATTAACGTTGCATCTATAATTCCGGGGGGCGCGACGCGGGAACACGGCTCCGACAGTACTTTAATCAGCCGCGGCTCGATAATTTGCGACCGCGACGCGACGCGACGCGACGCGTCGCCCGCTTCCATCCGAATAGTATATCTGGCCGTGTAACCTTTCCAGAATACACTGTGCTGCGGCGCGTCGTTACCATTTTCACGATCAGGAAATTCGATGGGACAAGCGTAACCCGGCCGCCGTGATTAGACCGTGGATGTTTATAGACAGCGAGCCGTGTGTGGGCTGAATAAATTTCAACGCCGCGGACGCGCCGGAATTTCCGAAAGAGTTATGGCTCCGACCGCGGACCGTGAATTTCGCTCGCAACGCGCTGCCGTTGATTTGTGAACGTGGAAACTCGCCGAAAATAACGGGCGAATTTCTCGGGAGATAAAATCTTCCGGTTTTAGGTGCGAAGCTTTTAACCTTTAACCCCTTGTTGTACGATGATGAGGGAGATTCGTGTTGGAGATTTCTAGAGTAATTTAACGAGTCAATGTTGTTTGTTACCCGTGGATCGAAGACATAATTTGCTGTAATGTTCTAATGAAATTTTCACTTGGAATTGACAATTTTCTTGTTTCGTTTAAATCGATGGTAAAATGTTACACGAGTTTAATAGGGTTAACGGTCGAGAGCTTTTTTGAAATACTCGTCCGTAAGATGTATTACGGTAAATATTTGTCAGTGCATGATCAATAAACCAATGATACGTTGCAATATTTGATAAAGAAAATTACTGCGGTGCTAGATAAATGAAATGAAAACTTTTCATGTCTCCGTATTGGGGTCTTTCGTTTTCTATGGTGTAACTGTTACGTCCCCGTAACGGGACCTTTCAACCATTAAAGGTTAACCCTTTGTACTCGAGAGGCGACTCTCAGTCATTTGATTGAACGCAAAATGATAATGAAAATTCAATATAAAACGTTGAATAAAGTAACACATGGAACATAGAAACGAAACAACTCTATCCCATAATTTATACAAGATGTTTCTCTATGTAACTTGCAAATAATGTCAATATTTCAGAAAATAATTAATGAAAAACATTATCGAGTGCAAAGGGTTAAATATGTATCGGAAATTCGAACGTTCGAACGTCGCATCGAATATGTTAGCCTTTTAAAAATATTTTCCTTAACAATTATTGAACTAGTTCTTTGTCATTCGAGAATATTACAAGAGATGCCTCGTTCTTATTTATTTTCCCATAAAGAAATATTTAACGAACGCCAGGAAGACGGAACGCACGAATAACGCCGTTGATGGGGGTAGTTCGAACGTCGCATCGAATATATTAGCTTTTTGAAAACATTTTCCTTAACAATTATTGAACTAGTACTTTGTCATTCGAGAATATTACAAGAGATGCCTCTTCTTATTTATTTTCCCATAAGGAAATATTTAACGAACGCGAGGAAGACGGAACGCACGAATAACGCCGTTGATGGGGGTAGTTCGAACGTTCGTTACCAGTTACCGTTCCAAGCTGAGAACAGCTGCGGGGGCCTCGAGAACAAATGGCGAACGAGGCTGTACTTTATCAGAAGTTTTTTACTCGATCCAGACTACGGATATATTCCCCAACTTTTTTACAATGCAATTACCCCGAGCATTTCATTTTTTTTTCTACCGTAAACATACGGACTTATCAAGTTTTCATTTCATTCCCTCTTAACCCTCCGAGAATCAGAATATTAACACATTCCGGTCCCGTGATAATGTGAGATTTTTAGTCCATCGTTTTGTAAGGTATGCGAGAGATTAAGGTGTGAACGAAGAATGTTTATAACCGAGCGACAGGAGTGTAGGGCATGCGAGAGATTAGGGTGCAAATGAAAGAATGAGAAGAATGTTTAGGACAGAGCTTGAGAGATCGAGGTGCGAATGAAGAGTGTTTTGGTATCGAATGTTAACCCTTTGCGGACGAATGCCGACATTTCGATGAACTTTTCATGTTTCGAAGATGAAGTCATAAACGAATAATTTAACCCTCCACGGGCCCGTGTGACTTTGAAGTTACGTATCAGTATATTAGCATTTTGTCGATTTATTTCATTTGCACTCAAGATGGCGAATAAAATGAAGTTTAACGTCATTGTAACTTGATAGTTACGAAATATATTCGTTAAAACTATGGAAACTATTGAATACAGTGTTAATTCGTATTCATATGTGGATATTTATTAATTTTCTACTGCATAGATTTTATGATCGTGAACAAAAATTCGGCTCATAGAGGGTTACTCAAATACCAAGACATCACGTAATTTGTTTTTCCTATCACTTAAGTAACCGATATATAATTTAGCTTCAGCTGAATATTTTGTACATTTCAAAGAATCCTCGTCCGCGAAGGGTTGAAAATCCATCAGTAATCACCGACGCTCGCGTTTTTACCAGCCGAAATTTATCCGGCGTACAATGCGTTAACTCGGTTGTTTGTAAATTATTTCGCGTCATGTTCCGCGAGTTTCCGCCGAACATCGGCAGTCCACACACGAACTTTAATACGCGCGCTGTCCAATTTAGCTGCAGCGCCCGTGTTCCCAGCGCAACGAGGAATCGCAGGGGAGAGTTTTACGATACCGGCCAGCCGGTACGTTGCTCGCGGCCCGTCCAGGGACAGATAAATCTAAGGGGATCGCGTAAAATCCTCGGATGTGCCATGCAAAGACGATCTCGATCTCAAAGGTGCGCAGACGAAATAGATCGTAGATCAGCCGCGGAAAGAACGTCGATGCTCGTAAACGTTTCATCGTCCCGATTGCATTGTGTCTTTCGCTCGCTCGCTCGCTCACTCGCTCGCTTGTTTGCTCGTTCGTTCGTTCGTTCTTTCTTTCTTTTCCGTTCGTCTCAGCGGAACGTCTCGACAATCTACTCGTTTACCCGCGTCGTGCTCGCATAGACATAACGGGCTTCGAGTCAAGCAGCTCGAAACTGCAATGCAAACTAGAAGGCAGCGTTTACTGGAGAACGAACGGGAAGGGTGTGTTTACGTTGCGCCACTGTGATCGACCCTTTCCAAACTGACTTCGGTCTGTTCCCGGCTACAAGCGATTCAAACATTGCGGATTGCTGTCAGTCATCGAAGTTTCGCGGTGTGCGGCGTTGAAATGGATAGATTGCAGTCGGAATAATGAGAAAATTATAAGAGGAAGTTATATAGACGTTACATTGGGAAATTTTTGATAATATACTTGAGCGAACTATAGCATTTGAGAAATGCAGTGTTCGATTGTAACTCAAAAATAAGTTAAAAGAAAAATTTAGAAAATGATAAATGACTAATTAGTACAATTATAAGGTATTAATAGAAAATTTGAAAATAATTCAGATATTCAATGTATCTCTCAATCAAAATGAAATGGAGTATAATGAAATTTTTTTTTCGATTATAGAACTCAAAAATAAGATAAAAGTAAAATTTAGAAAACTATAAATGACTAATCATTACAACTATAAGTGATTAAAACTAGAAAATTTCAAAAGAATTCAGATATTCAATGTATCTCTCAATCAAAATGAAATAGAGGATAATGAAATTTCTGTCTCAATCGTAGAACTCAAAAATAAGTTAAAAATCAAATTTAGAAGACAATAATTGACTAACCATTACAACTACAAATTATTAATACCAGAAAATTCAAAAATAATCCAGACATCCAATCTATTCCTCAATCAAAATGAAATGGAGGATAATGAAATTTCTGTCTCAATCGTAGAACTCAAAAATAAGTTAAAAATCAAATTTAGAAAACTACAAATGACTAATCATTACACCTATAAATCATTAATACCAAAAAATTTGAAAATAATCCAGATCTCCAATCTATCCCTCAATCAAAATGAATTCTGTTGTCCAAACATTTTCTTTCAGAGGAACACAGAATTCATTAATCCTCTCATCATAGACGACGATCAGCTTCACCAAGCGCTCCGAAGATCCAGTAGAACAGACCACAAGTCGATCTCAGGAAGGGTCAACCACCGGGCTCTCTAATGTAAGTCGAATGCACCGTGCGTATCATATACCCTGTATAAAGCGCCTGTGTTTCAGGCCGGTACGAATGAAACGTTACCTTCAGGTTGACTCAGGGCTCCACCTAAACTCCCGCTATTCTCTGATTGAGCCATAGCGTTCAACTCGTGGCTCTGCCGAAGGACGGACACTCGGTAAAAATAGTTCCGCCAGAAGTTCTCTTCCGAGATCCTGCGGGACAGGTAAATTAATTGAGACGTGAAACGCGACGGCGGCCGATACTCGAGACCGACGCGCGCCGCACTCTCCGATTCACCGTAATCGGACACCGGTTTGGAAATTGCCAATTAACGCCAGCCACCAAAGCGGACTGATTTAATTCACAGCCGGGAAATTAACTGATCCGCAGCCGTGTGACCCAGAGTTTTCTGCCCGAGAACCGGATACCGGCCGACTTCCGCGGGGCTTCGGATAATCAGGATATCTCGATTATCGATTCCTCCGTCGGCTACGCGGTCGAAGGAAATTCGTGGCTGGCGTTCAATTGTCAGTGTTTCTGATTAACCCATTCGGCACCGACTTATGCAGCATGCGCGATTAGTGATTAGGTAGTAAAGATTGAAACCTGTTAACCCTTTGCACTCGAGACGCGACTTTCAAGCGCGAGGCGATTCGATACAGTGAAATTATAAATTTTTAACTTTGTATACTGCATCAATACGTGAAACACTGAAAAAATGGCTTTGTTCTCTAATTTATGTGTGATTTCCTTATAAATTCATTTTAAAGAATTTTGTCTACGTTTGGAAAGTATTGGATATTTCAAGTGAAAAACTTTCGAGTGCAAAGGGTTGACCCTTGCACTTGGAGTTTCTCACTAGATGTTTAACATTTTTTGACGATATTCCTTGATGACTCGATGGGAAATAGAAGGATACTGAGGAACAAAGCTATTTTATTCTAATATTTCAAGTATCAAGGCGTTATACAAAGTTGTACATTAAATGTCAGATTTTATAGTTTTACCGCGTCAAATCAAATGAGAGTCGCCTTCCGAGTGCAAAGGGTTAATTTTCATTTCGATTTGGGAATTTTGAAAGAGATGAATTAAATGAAAATTAGCACTAGATGTAAGAATACTTGTTCTGTACTTTGTTCTGTTTTGCAGAAGATTAAATGTGTTTCGATGAGATAATCTTTTGTAAATATCTAATATAAACCACAAGAATATACAAATTCTTGAGGATCAGCTCTTAAACAAATTCTGAACTTGAATGGGTTAACACAGAAACGTAATAACTTTCTCAAATTAAAATTTCCACAAACCCATAAAGGATTGTAGCGAAAAATGTCGAAAGACTCGACGTTAGTAAATGGCACTTTCATTGATACACTCATACATTGTTTAACCCATTTGCATCATACGAAAAAGTGGAACATTGGTCCTCGCCATAAATGTTTCAATCGCATCAAAATAAAAATAGTGAACGTATAAAAAAGTAAAAACCTATACAGCCACGTCGCAATTATTGTACTCATAAAACATATCTTTCACTAGTCACTAGTCGATTGGTGCATCAAAATTGTAAAATTTCGTAATTAACATTAAGTCTTAAGTAATCTGCCGATACGTGAAATGTGGAAATAAAATACCATTGTTACCATTATATAAATAAATCCCTCGTTATGTTAGTTTAAAAAAATATCATCTATATCTCATAAAAATAAATTGAATATTTCTATTAACAAATTTTTCGAGTGCAAATGGGTTAATATAGTTGATTAAAGAAAATAAACTTACTCTTTAGGCACTAGTTGAAACCGCATGGATTCCAAGTTGGGATCTAACGCGAGCGTCGCTTGGGCCATAGCTTGGACCGCATCGAAGTCCCATGCGAAATCGACACCGACCGGGGGGGGCCTCAAAAAATTGCTTTTGTCCTGGAAACAAAGCTCCATTGAATTATGCATTCAGCTCCGTCAACTTCAGTCGCGGCGAGTTGCGAGCGCCGAGACATGCGGTCCACCGCCAGTCATCGGCCGGTCAGGAAACTCTGACCCCGGCTGAAACTACCTCCGAATGATAAACATCTACGTTCAATGACACACGAGAACCGTCCAATTAGAACACAGACCTCCCTATCTTCTCGCTCCCCGGCTAACACGAAATAAACACGATGCTATTCCGAATGTTGTCCCAACAAAGTTTCGATGCGCGTGTATCTTAACCTAAAAATTAAATATCGATATTGCTCTAGAAATTCTGAGAGCTTCTGTACACACATTAAACTGAAAATTAAGTATCGATATCTTAAAACTTCTGAACAGCTTTTTATGCATATTAAACTGAAAATTAAATATCGATGTCTTAAAAGTCCTAAACAGTTTTCTCTGTGCATGTACATCAAATTGAAAATTAAATATCGATTTGTGTGCCTGTGCATCACAGGAAATTACATATTGATGAGAGTAAAGTAATATTAAATCTGGTTTCACATAAATTAAAAGATTCAATCAGCACGCTGAAGATAAACACGGTCGATCGCATTCATTTCACTTCACGCTCAAATTGAAATTACAACCCTTACAATTTCCATTCAGAGCACCCGTACGCAAAAATAATGAACAACCCGGTAGCGGCTTCATAAAAAGACCATTCTCGATTAATTCACGAACAGGGGAATTCCTAACAAAAATGTTCAATTTACAGGTAAATTTACTTTCCTCGCAGTCCCGTGTTTTCCAATCGTACAACTTCCCCATTGTTTAATAAATTCCCCGGCAAACGGCTCCGAGGCAGCGGCACGGTAGAGCGGTTTTTGCGGGTATTCAAGAAACGGAATTATTTGGTCGAAAATAAAATCACTTCGCTCGGATTCAACGGAAAAGGCCATTGTGCGGCGGGGAGCAGCTCGAGTTTAAATAAAAGCGACGCGACTGCCGTCCCGCGAACGTTTCCTCCGCGAGTTACAAGACTGCTGACGGAGGGAACGTCTTCAGACGGCGGCTCGTCGTTCCCCGCGCGTTAATGACGAGAGTAAACGTCGCGTAAATTGTATCGCGGCTACCGGTCCTTTGTGATACGTCGAGCACCTCCGCCCTACTCTCCGCGCGACGGGATCCAATTGCGAGGCGGGGATTCATCCTTTTTTCCTGGAGGATCCGCCAGACGGGCAGAATCGAGTCACGGGAGCGTGATTCTACGCCGCCGCTACCGAAAATAGGACCAGTAATCAACGGAAGTGGAAAATATCACTTTGAGCAGAGTCAATAGCGCTGATGAAAGACAACGACGTTTCGATAGATTGCGAGGGAATATCGAGATTCTTGAAAATTCCGGCCGATTCGTTGAATGGAGTTCGATGACGGTTTTAATTTATTTTGAGCGAGGAATGGAGCTGGATTTCTGTTTGAGTTGGAGGTAATAGGTTTGTTTAATTTGTTTTAATGAGTTTTTGTGAGTAATTTGTTTTGAGAAGTGTAGTGGATTTTAGGGAGGTTCTGAAACATGTGTTGAATGAGAATTTTAAATATTAGTGTAAATGTTATGGCATTCTTCTAAATGTTATTTCGAATGTTATTAAATTTTTCCAAATATTATTCCAAATATCATTAACACTAGAACTACCGTACCAGTCATGACTGGTTTCAGTTTTTCTGTTTCGCAATTGTTGATATCTTCAAAGCATTGAATATTCGAAATGATGTTGAAAATGAATAGTTTCACTTGAATACTATAATGAGTGTCTGAAGAAACCGAAAATTATCTATTACTACAATATTCATAGCGATTACATTTCAATCGCATCAAATGCTCGGTAGTTCTAGTGTTAAATTCATCCAAATATTATTAAATTTTTCCAAATATTATTTTAAACAATATCAAATTCTAAACATTATTAACCCTCTGCACTCGAGAAGCGACTCTCAGTAATTTGACTGAACGCAACAAAACGCTAAAATGAAAAATTCCACATAAAACTTTAAATAAGCTATTAACACATGAAACAGAAATAAAATTCTGTTCCACAATTTATACTCAATATTTCTTCATATAACTTGCAAATAATGCTATTTCGTCAGAAAATATCTATAACGAAAAACATTGTCGAGTGCAAAGGGTTAATATTCCAACTCCCAATAAAACCCTCGACTCAAAACACAAAACAGAAATCATCAAAAATACTCAGCATCCGGACGAAAGCGTTAAAACGCTCGAAAGCATCTGAACAATCGCAAAATTCTCAGACACTGTAAACCCTCGCGGAAGAATGCCATAAAGACAAGAAGAACGACGAAAGAAGGAGCGGGATTACTCACAGTTGAAAGAGATAGGCATTCCTCTCGCAGTACATCTTCATTGGGTGCGCCGACCCAGGGTGCAACAGCTTCTCCTTTCTCCGTGTGTTTGCTAGCGATCAGTGCTTCCTGTTCTTTGTTTAATTCAGCAACCAGCCTCTGTAACATGATTAATTCCTCTATTAAGCAACGGCGGGCATGCCAGGACGAGCAGTTTGTAGGACATCGTGCAATTATCGGCGGCATCGATGGCGGTCCACGGAAATAGCTGCTGGGAATCCGGTAAAAGGACCCGCGCGCGCGCGCAGGCCGGTACGTTCACCCCCGTACGTTAATTAGATCGTTATCGTATTTTTGTCGATACCCGCCGACTGCGCGTCGCGGACCCGCTAAGATCGTATCGATCCCTCGGCTAGGGAATTTCTCTGATGCCTCCCTCCGCCCTCCCGCCGTTTCCGGTTTTTGTTTCTAGTAAATTGCGGCATTCGCGCTGGTTACATGCCCCGCGTTGTTCGCGAGAAGAGTCTCGAACGGCGCACGGGCTGCCGGACGAAACCCTGGAATTCGACTATTCGCGTAGAGAAAATTGAAGGTTGTTGAATTATTTGCAGAAGCAAAAAGACGCAACGTTCATGTATCTTTAGTCTAAGCAAAGTCGATAGAAAGACGACCAGATGTGTCTGGATTTCGTCACGCGAAGTTAACCCTCTATGGACCGAATTTTTGTTCATGATTATAACAAAATCTATGCAAAATTAATAAATATCCACATATGAACACGAATTAACAACGTATTCAATAGTTTCAATAATTTCAAGCAAATATATTTTGTAACTTAAAAGTTACAATGACGTTGAACTTTCACGCCTGGGCATATAAAAGTTTAAGTGAACTGATTACTAATTTTATTCACCACTTTCAGTGCAAAATGAAGTAAATCAACAAGATGCCAATATACTGATACGTGACTTCAAAGTTACATGGGTCTACAGAGGGTTAACGCATTGTTGATCGGTCACGAGTTGACTCGTGTTCGCACTAGTTGAAGGTTTTGTATATTTCAAAGAAGCTTCGTCCGCAAAGGGTTAATACTTTCAAATCTCTAATTTGCAAAATCGAAACGAACAAACATCAATGTTTCTTCAAACAATAGAACAAACTAAATATCCGTGAACATAATGTTGAATCACCTCTCAACAGTATAAACATCTATTCACACGGCGAAACGAAAGGATAATTAAATTTCATAATTTGTTCTGTCTTTCGCAGCGTCGAATTTTCACAGAGGGATTAATGTACGCCGATTGGAACGAATTTCGTGCGTCGGTTATCATGTAATGCTGATTTACGTCGCGATAATGCGAAACCATAGTTCCACGCGTCGATGCAACAAGCGGCGACAGCGTAGATTCGTTCGAAACGGGCATTGAAATATTATGATTAATTCGTACATTCAAACAGAATTCGATTCTCCGAGTGTATCGTTATATAATCGAAGTTTCAATGGAAGCTAAGAGAAAACGAACGGAATTAAGCAAATCCTTTATTCGAGATTTATCACCGTAGATTCGCAATGTTTAGAACAATGCAGCGAAAGAGATATATACGGCGAGCTCCGAGTAATGTATTACGAAGTTCAACCATTTGTGGTTTATATGCTTTGACGATGCTCGCGGAGTAATTGTTTCGTTAACTATTCGCACGGAACTTGTATAATATACATCTATAAACTCGAAATTTTCAACTTTGCTTCTCCTTTTCTGGTTGAAAGCGATCGATACAATTTTAACCCCAGTCCTATGTCGAGTAAGACATTCTATTTTATTGCAACCTCTGCCTCTTTTAGCAATTTTTTCTATATTTGTTTGTAGTATCATAATTGTACCATTTAAAGGTAACATTCCAATGATTCCCAGATATTCTTGAATAAATAGAGCGTCATATTAAGCTGTAATTGAAGGAACTGACATCGACGTGAACCTCAAAGTGAGAAACCAAGACTTCGGACCGCAAAGGGTTAACCCTAATTGTATCACGTGTTTTTGTAACGAATCATACTATGTGACTCTCAGTCACTTATGAGAATAAAAGGAATGATTAGAATGTTATTGTTTTTGTCTACAGGGCCCAAATTTTAGACCAGAAAGACTTTTGGAAATGCAATATGAAATAATCGAAAAATCTGAATGAAAAGTTGAAATGTGACTCAAAGTCATATCGTGGTTCGATTAGGATTAAAGTAATTACAGTAACCGTTAATACAACTTTAACTCTTTGCACTTTATAGGTTCCTTAACGACACCATTTACAGCACTAAATATTTTAACATATTAACCGTTTGGCTACGGATTTTTTCGGACATATGCCAAAACTGCGACACTAATTGCGCGTGTATGGGAAAAAATGGAAAACACTTTCATACAACAAACTCACTTATATTGCATTGCAACAACAATTTTAAAAAATACCATTTATTTACTTAAATTTGTTTTAATTCATTTTGTGGATAAAATTAGTAAAGACGCAGTCATAACATAACAAAAGGAACGCTATCACTCTCTTCGCAATTTTGGCAAAACATAAGAGGAGCGAGATAACGCTCCTCAGCAGTCAAAGTTAAGTGCCGCATGCTTTTGCAGAGAAATTATTTGCGTTGCTATCATTGCAGGTTTATCTTTAATATCACTAGAGTGTCACTTGTAATATACAAAAGTTTTCAAACAGTCACCCTTTAATTGAATAAATTATAATAATCCAACGTATTAATGAACAAACTTGAAAAAGGCCACCCCAAGATTATTAAATTCGTCCACATGCAAACTTTATTTTAAGAGAACGAAAAATCTAAGAAACATTCTAACGTTTCCAAATTTTCATCGAAGTAGAATAAAAATGGCTTAGAGTTGCTGGTCAGTCAAAAAATCGGTTAATGGTTAACAAATTCCTGACCGCATAACGCGACCACCGAACGCAAGAGGAACCCGTTGTTCGTTAAAGCGTAAAACAAGGCGTGGGAGGTAAATTCTTTCGCGCAAGATAACAGCGGGGTTTTAGTTGCAGTGGCTTCTAATTACCGCGCCGTTATAGTTTATTACTTAAGTACGCGAAATTGGAGCCACTAACGAGAATAACCCGAGGATAAACACGCGGCGCGGTGGTCGGCGAGAGGTGCAACGAGACGAATGGTAAGGATTGGCCGAGGAACGAAGAAAAATGGACGGACAGGGATCACGGGGATACGAGGCGTCTAAAAGGATTAAAGACAGGGAGTCCTGCGGCGGCGGAGCTTAGGTTCGGGATAGCTGAGCTCCCTTATTATCGTTCTTGTATTTGGGTCAGCCGGGTTCTCGACCATGTGCAGGGACTGCGAGAGATTCGACGCGGCGCCGTGCACCTATCTCCTCGCTTATTTCGTTTGAAATGTTAACACATTGTGGCCGGTCGACGGGATATCTCGTCTTTAGCAAGCCGAACGTTGTGGCCGGGCGAAGAGATATCTCGTTTTTATAATATATTAATATATATATAGTGGTTACTATTAGATAGATATTGAAAAGGTGGATCGTCAGTAAAACGAGAATTAGGAAACAATATGGACAACACGTAAAAATACAACTTAATACCACGAAGGCCAACAGACGACTCTCTATCACGCACAATGTTCTTCTCCGCTGTCTCACCAAAATGTCCCCATGCACGCATTTCCACTCGCTTTTAACACACCCCCATTCGCTCTGTCTTTCTCACCCTTGCACCCTTCTCACTCGCATCTTTCGTCCATAGTCAAAATTCACGCAGTCGCGTACACGCTTTTCTCACGGTCCAGTCGCTCAGTTCCAGACACTCTTCCTCGCATTCTTTCAGCCACTCGAGATTTTCTAAACGCAGTCACACTATTTTCGCACGCACGACAAACCATTCATCCTACAATAAATATTCTAGATACTACATATAGTAATATTATATTATAGTAATATTTACGAGTACCTTACTTGAATATAATACCAAACGCGAGTTAAGAAAGTGCATATGTGCATCGTATAAATTGTTTCTTAACCAAAAACGTGCGGGCCTTGGAAGCGCGTTGCGCAATGTGTTAATGAATATTTCAGGAACAGAATTTCGACGATATGTTTGTCTCTTGAATGAAATACATTCTGCTGCAGTAATAGTTCAGTTTCTTAATCTTCATCTACGATATCGTGGTAGACTCGTGACGAAAATTTCATGAGAAATCTTATTTATATTTTCTAAATATAAATTAAGTATTACTTTTCTATTATTAATTATCAACCTTTGTAAGTAATTAGTAACATTGTAATAAAATAGTTGCATCGATCGTAGCTAAGAAGTAAATTATAGAGCAAGTTAATGATGTTCGTTAAGTATTTTCAATGCTGCTTCCCTGTTGATCCTATATTACTCCTTTATCATTTACGTTTCACGTCAGTTTCCTAACACCTACAGAATATACTTTTCAGTGCTATTTTTATTACTCCTACATGACTTTGTTCGTATTTGCATTTCTCCTCGGTTCCCTCGTAACAAGCATAATTCCCAGTATCACTCTCCTGCTAATCTTACACTATCTTTTTACCACATATTTACATTTCGCCCGAGTTCCAGCAACGCTCACCGTAATTTCACAACTTTCGGTTAATCCCGCATTACGCTTCCGCCGTGGAACGCGGGGGAATCCATTAGATCCCATGAAATTACTAATAGACGAAGTTCTCCTTCCGCTTCCCATTCGCACTGTTCAATCATCGCCCACGCGGCATCAAAGTATTTAGCGAGGGACCTTTTCATCCGGTCCAGAAGCGGCAGTCATAAATTACGATATTCACGGAGCGTTAACTCCCGTTAGCGCGCTATCAGAAGTTCCAAACTCGTTTTATCTGAAAGTCATTACAACGATGTCTCGAATAGCCGCGCGGAGGTGTCCAGCGACGGGTCTCGCCTTAACACATTGTACGCCGGCTAAATTTCACCTACTAAAAACACGAGCGTCGGTGGTTATATCGATACATCTTTAAACATCGATCAAACCGAAATTTCTAATTTACGGAAAGCAATAAGGAATTCGATTTTGTAAATTTTACTTTGAATTTGTGTCGTACATATCTAAAATGTTACATTACCGTAGGATTCGCAATTAA